ACACACACACACACACACACACACACACACACACACACACACACACATATATTCCTCTACATATATACCTATGATAAAGTTTTACTTATAAATTCGGCACAGTAAGAGAGCAACAATAGTTAAAAATAAAATAGGACAATTATAACGATATACTGTAGTAAAAGCAAAGCTGTGTGAATGTGGTCTCTCCATCTTTCAAAATGTCTTAATGTACTATACTCACCCTTCTTGTGATGATGTGAGAAGATAAAATGCCTACAGGATGAGAAGTGAGGTGAGTGACGTCGGCATTGTGACCTGGTACTAGGCTCCTAGTGACCTTCTGATGCTCTGTCAGGAGGATCATCTGTTTTGGACAGCAGTTGACTGCGGGTAACTGAAACCACAGAAACCGAAACTGTGGATAAGGGAGGACTCCTGTAGAGGGAAATTCACTTTAAAAATTTAAGGGGAAAGTACTTAGAAATACTTTAAAGTATTTAAGTGTAAAATGCAGAGAAGTATGCAAAGTGTGACTACATGAATTTTCTCAAAATGAACCTCACCCTTGTAACCAGCACCCACAGCAAGAAACAGATAGTTATCAGCTTCCCTGGAACTCTTCTCTTTCTAGTCATTAACCATCCGCAGAGAAGGAGGATATCCAAGTTCTAGCACCAACATTCCCAGACCCAAACAATACATTTTTAATAGTACATTTCAAAAAAAAAAAATAGTACATTTCAGGTGTCAAGGATTGACCATCGGAGTAGATTCATTAAGCTGACAGTTTCTCAAGACTCATTCAGACTTTTTTTTTTTATATTGCACGGTGTAATAGAATCTTAAAAATTAAATACCTTCAGGCTTGCATGTAAAATAAAAGGTATAAACTAAACACACAAACTTTTAGCATTACCTGTAATTTAAGAACATGTACTGGGGCGCCTGGGTGGCGCAGTCGGTTAAGCGTCCGACTTCAGCCAGGTCACGATCTCGCGGTCTGTGAGTTCGAGCCCCGCATCAGGCTCTG